GCCACCAAAAAAGGAAATCCTTCTGAAGGCCTCGTCCATTTCCCAAGGCACCTCATAGCCTCGACCTTCTACAAAGCCATCAGTCAAACTTTTACATGCGCCTCGTACCTAAGACCTGGAACCTTGTGCTGGTGAGAGACAGATGCTCAGCACAAAAACCCTTTCGAATCACCTTGACCTCAGACCTTGACCAGTCCGAGTTCACTGCTGGACACTGGCCCGTCCAACCACCTAACCCCGTCCATCCCACGGCACCACATCCGGCAGGAAGCATGCCATTGCACGACAGCCGCGCGGCAGAAATGTGCCACCCTGACACAGGCTCGCGTGACTTGGACTGCTACATGTGTCCGGGGCATGGTGTTTTGGATGATGGGTTCAGCTCCTACGAGCAGCATGAATGCACACATACCCACACCACACTTGTCAACTATATATATATATATCATTACGGTTGAACATGAAGGAAGAGTGTCACAGGGTCAGGGAAGATGACAAGCAGGTGATAGACAATTGTTTGGGACAGACAGTCAAGTGGCATCCGGTGGCCTCGCCTCGGTCAAGGAAAGAGGGACAGGTAGGCAAACAGGGAGAAAAACGCTCCAGATACAAGCACAAAACGAGAGAACAGCATGGATGAACAAAACACTGCGGGAGAGCCAGAGCAGATGCCAACTTCGCATGCCCTGTTCAGGTTGCACTTGAGCGTTTTTCTTGCAGGCTGTTCGACGATAGTGAACACCACGACGGGAAGAAAGAACGCCTTGCAAAGACAAATGGGCACCCCGCATTCAGCTCACATTCAAGCCATGGACCCTGCTTGTGTCATGCAATCGGATGCTTGTTTGTCTATTTCGGTGCCCAGTTTGAGCTTATTGGGGTGTTGGGCTGAGTTGATCTTTCTAGCTATAGTGATAGGGCCCAGGCTTTCAATGCGAGCTCCGTTGCATACCATGCAAAGGACCTAAACCTAAATACCTTCGCCGGCAAAACTTCCAGCCTCTGACGTACAAACCACGGTGGGCCGCGCCATGCCTTCCACCGGAACTGCATCCTCCAAGTCAATTGGAGTTTCACTACGATTCAGCATGGGACGGTGTGCGCATTGCCGCAGCATGAGACACTTTCGATTTTTTAGGCTCTCCACGATCTTAGAAGTCCAGGCTTCAGCACAATTTTAGTGACCTGGACGCACGCAGGCGGCTTGGCACTTGCAATACTGAACCCGAAGTCGTCAGCAATCTCCAGTCCAAGACTTGACTGCGAGGTCAAAATTTTGAGCTCCTGGACCTTTCTTGTCGGAAGATCTCTCTGGAGTAGCGGAGTGCCCGGAGGCTCGAATTACGGGGCCTGGCTAGTGGAGCATCATACTACCCCGTTTCAACATCATACCACTTTGATCTTCCGGAGGAGCAACTTGTGCGTCCTTTTTTAGGATTCTACGGGCGCATGGAAGCCTCTGTTCTGCGAAACAGCGAATAGGTCAAACTTTCGTCCTACCGCAGTACAGCAATAGTTCGAATGCTAACCAGAACGTTCCATGATCGGCCGCTGCAACAACCTACCTACAGCAGTATGAGCCAGTCCTGGTGGCATCCGAGGTCGCAACGTGACGCCTCCACACGTCCCGCGCAGTTCGTGGTGTCCTCAGCAAACAACTCAACCTTTCACAAGAATGCAGAGATCTGTGCGCAAGGTCTGGATTTCAACAAGGTGCCACCTCAGGTTTATCCAGGTGCCCAGATACCTCCCCTAAACCCTAAACCCTAAACCCTAAACCCTAAACCCCATGAAAGGCAGAGATGGGTCAGTTCAGGCTCAGACTGTGGGAGCGAGATCAGGCCAGTGTTGCCATTCGTGTTGCTGGGGTGATCTCAACATGCACCGACACGGGAGTTTCCGAAGATAAGGGGTACCTTACTTTTGGGTCCTGATAATAAGGATCCTACTATTTTGGGGTACTATATGCCTTACTTTTGGGTCCTTATAATAAGGATCCTACTCTTTTGGGGTACTATATTAAGGTCCCTTATTTTCGGAAACCCCCACACTGTTCGGAGCTATGAAAGAAGCTGCCACACCACCCAAGCGCTGAAGGCTGCCGTATCCTCGCGGCCACCAGAGAGAAGTCTCGTGCATGACCGTTTCTCGCCTCCACCACCAGAAAATAAGGGACCTTAATATAGTACCCCAAAATAGTAGGATCCTTATTATAAGGACCCAAAAGTAAGGCCCTAAATCCAATCCTTCAGCTTTCCGCTTGATGTTGACTGGCATAGGAAGTGTTCAAAACGGATGCTGCCAGGTGTCGTACAGGAGCAGGGTGCTCTCGGGAACCTCGCACTGGTAATCTGCAGCCAGCCTCTGCTCACGAACTACGCCGGGCTGTTGCAGCCAGCTTCCACAGAGGATTGGGGTAGGTTGCTTTCTGCATTTGGTGTATCTGTATGAGTGACTCAAGCGAGTGAAGCTAGGATTTCGTAAATGCCGCTGAAAGCCGCCAGGCTGAAGCTACCTACCTGACACTTCAACGACCCGCCGAACCCTGCTTGGCAAGCCGTGCGGCAGGATGCCATCGGAGAGGACGACGACAGCTTCCTGGTAGATCCCACCCAACCTTGCCTGAGGCGATTCTACGAATTCCAAACCACTGACGGACGATTGGGCCTCGAAGAGCCTACACAGTTTCCGCGCAGGAGCTCGGCAGAATCCATGGTCATGCAAATGCAAGATCATGGATTCGTGTGAGCCTGGCTTAGTCGACTTCGCCTAGCTGCACTGGCGGCCATTGTAGCACCCGGCTGCGAAACGGCGGGGCCCAAGACCAGCTCGGGGGCATCTCCGGCCTGCGGGGCTTCGACTGCGGCACTGCTGCGAACGTCCGACAAAACCACTCCTTGATTCTCGCTCGATTTCCGCCTGCAAAAGCGCCTAGCTGGCCTAGCTCCGGCAAGCTGCAAAGGGATGCCAAGATCTCGCAACACTTGCCAGGCACCTTACGTATGGCTACCTGTTCTGCCGTCCAACCTCTCTTCGCCCCAAGTGCAGCAGCCCCTGCGGCAAAGGCGTAGACTCAGGGCCCAAATTAGCCCTCCATCACGGAAGTGCACTCACCAGCCTGTGGCTTCTGAGATTGTTCCAGGTCAGGTCCCCCGTAATTCAGAAACGGCTGAACACAAGTATCTCGCCCGGCCAATGTAGAGAAGTTCTGCACATAGCACATGGCCATTCGATGGGCAATAGGTGCCAACGTGTACCAGGCCGATCCAGGCCGGAGAAGATTTAAAACAACCTACCAACCTCAGGCAAATCATCACCAAACAAAAATGATAATAGTAGTAGTAATAATAATCGTAATAATACAGTCATAGAACTAGTACTACTATATCTCAAAAAATCCTGAAATCACACCGGTCCACGCCTCGAATGCTACTAGGAGCGCACCACTTCCAAGCTGTGCGAAGCGATTGGCTGCAGGAACCTACAGCCACGAATACTACTAGTACACAGTGAGGCTCTCCGAGTGTCGCCTTATGCCGCTTTGCATGGTAGTATGGCACCTTCGGCATCAAACCCGCTCTCTTTCTTGCGACATTGAGCTCGGCTTTCTTCAAACCCTGCAGATGCCTTCGCGCTAGAACAGCATACACAGCATCCCGATCTCATCTTGAGATCCCTTTGGTTGGAAAGCGTTTCAGGCTCGTAATGCCGGAAGAGCAAAGCACATTGGCTGCATAGGTACAGCGCACGACATCGTCTGTCCTTTGCTATGACCGCCAACCTCCTCCCTTTCGCACCCTCCAAGACACTCTTTTAAAAGGTCCCTAGCTTGAAGTGGCAACGAGCTGGGATTTGCGATGAGATTACAATCATTACAACTGGACTGCAGCTCCCAATCTCCCCCAATGACCGGGAATCAGGTATAGCAGCGGAGCGAAATCGCCTCGCCTTGCAAAGCCCTCTGGGGCCCTCACCTGAAAGGTCTCACCTTGCATGCCTGTGTCCAAGTGACCGGTGAAAAGCTCGGCCCCTGTCGAAGGTGCCTCGGCGTTCGAAGCTCGAGCTTCCTCTCTTGCAGTCACAAGTCACAGCCACTTGGCTGCAAACTCAACATAATACATGTGTCTGGCCTTGCTGCAGGAGCTGCACTTCGGAGAACAAAGTCGCGAGGTCAAACAAGCTTCTTGCACGGGCGCACGGTGCACGTGCTTCTGTGCCGAAGACACGCTGGAAGCCGAACATGTCGAGCTACGCTCGGAGGTTTCAAAGCGCACTCCCTCCCTCCGATGGGTCCCCTGGGCCGGTCCTGCTAAGCTAAGCTTCGGCAGCCGAGGAACCGTCAGGAGCAGGCCGAAGTCGCCAATGTTCCTTGGAGATGCTCCACTAATTAGTATATGGCCTGACTTTTTTTTTTAGGGTTTGAGGGCCCATTATACTATAATCATAATAAGGAACCCCGAAAAATTAGAACAGGGTTTGAGGGCCCATTATACTATAATCATAATAAGGAACCCCCACAATAGTTTGGGTAATCGTTTAGGCCCCGACATTAGGTTTCCTCATGTTGAGGGACATGATGCCCACGGCGCGAGCAGGTATTTTTTCGTGTAAGAAAGATCATGTCAATGATCCAGGCTCCGCGACATTCTGCCTCCGCGCATACTGTTCTCGTGATAATTTTTTCAATGGCAATGTACCGGCGCCAGAATCAGAAGACTTCTAAGTGATGCCTCAGCGAACTGAGAAGCACTCAGCCCTGAAGCCCAGAATTCCAAATTTGCCGCCAGTGGTCGTCAGCAGCGGCTCTCCCCAAAGGAGGCTGGCGTGATGATCTGCATGTGTCTGGAAGCCTTGGCTTGCAGAGGACTCTCACTAAGTTCAATGATTATGATTTCAATATGGCCGGGGTAACAGATTGTGTGAAGCTTCCGATCCAGCTGATGACGCTCTGTAGGGCTGAACATTGAGCTTGAGAGTTGGGCCTCAGGGTATTGCTGAGATCAACCCGAGAGATCCTGAGAGGTAAGAAACCCTAAACCCTAAACCCTAGTCTGCCGTTGCCAACTGCAGCCAAATGGCCTGTAAGCACTTCGGTGGCCGACCAGGAGACTTGAAAGCGCGACACCGCCAGCGAGGACACATGCAAGTCACCTCGCTGGCTCTTTTTGGATCATGATTATTGACTGTTCTTGTTGTCCATACTCATCACAAAAAAAAAATATATATATATATATACATATATATATATATAGTATTGCTGTTATTATTGTTATTTCTATTACCACTATTACTATCAAATTATTAGTATTATTGCACTTTACCTCCAACAAGCCAGCTCTTTGTCTGCAAAGGCGTGGCCTACCAGGGCCTACCTGCGCCATGGGATGAGGCGACTTCGGGGCAGGTCTCTCCATTTTTCGCGAGACTTGCTGAGGACCCCGGCCATTTGGAGAAATGAAGAACATCTGGAATCCCCTGCCTGACAGGGTTTTTTTAAGGGTTTAGGGTTTAGGGTTTCTGACACGGGGGTTTAGGGCTTCGGGTTTAGGGGAGAGATCACTTCTGAAACCAAGCGCTCCCTCCCACGGCGCCCAACCCACATTCCGCAAGGGACGTTGCGCTGTACAGACCAAGCCCGTTCACCTTTGGACGCGCCTGGCAGGGAGATCAGCTGGCAACTGGTGGCCTGATCGTAACGAGTGACAGGACTTTGACGACTCGCAGGGCTTGGAGGCACAGAGCTACAGAGTTGCCGATCGACTACAATGTGAGGAAGATTGGCAAACAGCCATTTGCTTATGACAACCTCAAGCTTGAAGGGTCGTGAGGGGAAGTGTGGATCCGAGATCGCCGTGCTCTTCCCACACTTTCCGATCCCAGGCTGCCGTTGGAGTTCGGCATGCTGTTCGGTTCGAGAGTCACAGAAGCCAAGAAGCCTTTGGGCCTTTGAATGCCACTATCCCCTGCATCAGTGATCTGTGTACGAGCATGCAAAAGGACGGAGGTCTCAGACTGCGGCTACCCATGCTGTACATACGTCCATCGCATTAACTCCTGGTCGTAATCTTACAGCCACTGACTACAACAAAAAGGAACTACTATCGATGACACTGCCCTCGTGTCAAAGAAAGATGGTGTCGCGCCTCGGGCCCATCCGCGCAGTCGACAATCTGAACGGTCAGGTCCTCGGCACTCTCGTGGTGAAGGCCGGAGCTAGCAGGAGGCAGGTGCACGGGACTTACTCATGGGCCCCATAGTAGTTCCTTTTTGGGGCTACTTTATAGGATTCTATATGTGAATCCCAAAAAGAACTACTTTAGGGCCTATGGGTAGAAAGGGCGAGGGCCTGCGGGGAGAATTGGTCAGCTAGCGATGCAAACATGCTCATACGCCCCGGTGCCAGTCTCTGAAAAACCAACGCACAAGTGCCTTGAAGCCCGCAGCAGGCCGTCCACTGTCCACTTCTGAGGCATCTTATGACCATCCCGGGTGAGGAGTTCACAAAAAACGATATCGAGGTTACCCCTCAGGATATATCACTGCAGAAGCAATGCAACCTGGGGTCGGAGGCGACGTGGATCACGCAGGCGTAGAGGCTGGTCCCCATCAGGAGTGAGAGAAGCAAGTTCTCCTGTTTTGTACCACGACCCCTGGAAACCAAACTCTAAACACTGTAAAACAAGAGGGTCCGTTTGGGGTGTCCAAAAAACTTTGTGCTTCACCCTGATATTAGAATACGGGCCCTAAAGGTGTCCGTGACATGGAATGACATGGAGAACTACCCGCGAGCGCTGTGCCAGCGCTCCTCGCCGGACTCCTCGAGCTGAAGGCTGGAAGCATTTGCCTTAGCACTTCGCCGATATCCTTGCAGACGGCCGACCCATCATCATCAGCATCAGCATCATCACCATGCTACCCAGCTACTCCTACCACGACCGCAACCGAGAACCCATGTAATAACATGTTACCTGCCACTTGTGTTCATATCAAGATCCCAGGTGTTGTGAGAGCCAGGAATGCACCTCGAGACATGAAGCCTTTGACCCGGCAACTGCGGAGCAAAACGACATAGTGGTGCGACCGCGCCACTGCAACGAAGGATGCGAAGGATGCCACACGCGGTGCCAAGATGTCGAGTGATGCCAGGAACACCTGCTGCTACAAAAAGGTATCTAGACTATGAGTATACTGACAGCAACGGCCATGGCAGTGCAGCAGCCGGACAGTCTTTATTTTGTCGGTGGTGGTGGTGGTGGTGGTGGTGGTGGTGGTGGTGGTGGCGGCCGGCGGCGGCAGCGGTGGTCGTGGTCGTGGTCGTGGTGGTCGTGGTGGTCGTGGTGGTCGTGGTGGTCGTGGTGGTCGTGGTGGTCGTGGTGGTCGTGGTGGGGTCGTGGCCGTGGTCGTTGTGGCGTTGGGTGGCCTTGGGTGGTGGAGGCGGCAGCAGTGGCAGTGGCAGTAGTTTCGGACGCGGAGTGGTGCTGCTGCTGCTCGTGGCGGGGG